ATTTGGCTGTTTCCTTTCCTGCTAACCAACATAGGAAGGCCGGGACACTTCCTTAACCCATGGGACACTTTGACTCATGTATTTTCTTTGTATTTTGTATCAGCGGAGGTTTATGGTAAGGATACTTCCAGCTAGTTCTAGAGAAAGAGTTATTTCTTTTTGTCATTTCTGGTGTTTTCAAGATGTGTACAGTTTCCCCTAGTGGTATGATACATACCATGTGATTTGGTTTATTTTGATCCAGCAGTTCTTTCCAAAGCAGATCTCACAATTAATCTTTTAATTGGAAGTGGACTTGCACAAGAGCTGCAGGATGTAGGGCACAGTTTATAAAAATGCCCGAATGTCTACTATGAAGAGAGGAGCTGCTGTGAAGGTAATGTAATGATTCTTTAGCAATACTGAGCTTGGCTATTGTAGCTTTTGGTTCTCCTTTGCTTCTTAATACTTTACCATGGAGATGAGATATTGAGTTTCCAAAACATCAGCCTCAGCCACTTGAACTGACAGAGGTTAGCATGGTATTTAAGAGCACCCTGAGCTGCTAAGCACTTTCCGTTCTGTGCAATGGAACACTCAGGTGCATCTATAAAGAAGGCAGTTTATTATGTTATATTATATTGCCATAAAACCTCTGGATTTACAAAAGGTTAACTTCTAGAATCTAAGTCCTCCTATTAGATAATGATAGCCTTTTGGAAACAATGCTTCACTTTGGTGTTTTTATTATAATGCGTTACTGCTCACCATAAAGGCAATAAAACGCTTCCTTTTTCATAGATTAGCTAGAGTGTAATTAGTTTTCAAAGATCAGATCAATAACTAGAGCATGTTGATTTCAAAAAAGGTCATGCATGCACATTTTCTGATTTCCCTCTGATTTTCATGGTACAAACTCCAAGAGCTGTGATAATGCTTAGTACTCCAAGTTGGGGTATGCTGCCTAGTGTGTGGGGTGGTGGGAGTAGGTTTTTGTTTTCTTTTTTTCTTTTCCCAGCTACGTATCAGACATAGAAGGTGGGAAAGTGTCCCATTCTGATGCGAAAAATGTAGTTTTCTTGGTCTGAGATCCTTGTTTGAGAAACAAGGACTGGACAATGTCATGACAATGATGAACATTTGCTATGCTTTGGACCAGGGCTTAGCAATGTTTGGGGTATGAAAAAGCTTTAAGTGCTAACACCAGCACTTCCACTGCATCTTTCATTTGAGGCTCTCTCTATTCTTAATAAATTTTCACTGTGTCTCTGTGAGGCTGGTATTAATAATGTCATTTTGAAGACAAGTAGATATAAAATGCTTGTATAAGCACATTCAGCAAGCCAGAAAAATGCAGGAATAAAAATCAGGAATACTAATGTTTCAACTTGTTTTTGAGCTACAATCTTGTACTTTCTCTTTTTTTGCCAGAAAATAGACTCAAGGAATTAATTTTGGTAGCTTTTTTCTCCCCCCTTTTTTTTCCCATTGGGCTAGGCTGCATAAAAGTGAGACATTATTATGCAACATATCTAAGTGTGCATGTGATACTTGAAAAAATGGTAATCAGATAAGTTGCCAGGCAACAGTACCCTGCCTTCAATTACCAAAAAGCCAATGAATGTGCTTTCATGATGTAACATGTGCTCTGTACTTCTTCATAAAGAAAGTGTAGGTGGACTTTTGTAAGAGTTGCTCCTTTTTAAGTCATCTCCTGCTTAACCTGCCATGTTACAAGATGAGATTTGACACCAGTTTTATGGAAAGGTATTCACAGAACCTGAAATCAACAACAACAACAACAAAAAGTTAGATGAGCTCTTAAAGATAATGAAAGGTACATGAATAAATACGAGTAAATAACCATTCCTTCCCGTAGCTCATCCTTGGGACTATGAAAAATAAGAAAATGCGCAAGAGATTTATGTTAAAAGGTAGATAGCAGGAATACATGAAAAACTCTGAGAAGTCTTAAAATGTTCAGAGTGGCCCATTGGCCCAAAAATGTTGAGAGCCGTGGTAATGCATGAAAACATGAATGTAAACTGAGCTGTTTCATTTTGATTGCCTTAGCAGGAGCAGAATGAAAGAAATATAAGCAGGCATGAGTGTACACAGAGGAAAAAACAAGTGAGACTAATAATGTCAGACAGATCTAGCAGCATGAGGGAATTGGATTGTGTATTTGTTTGAAACCTGAGTTTAATTTTTTTTTAAACAGATTGCAAGATAGCAACAACAACAACAAAAAGACTCTTGGCAGTTATTTTAAATGCATTTTTGCTTTCGGCAATAAATAGCCACAGAAGCATTTGCAGATATTGTAGTTGCATGGGGATGCCAGCATCTGCCCAGGCCTCTTCAAATATTGGGTGGTGGCATGGCTTTTAAAAGAAATCTGAATCTCTGGAGATCTAATGTGCTTCTCAGGACTTTGACAGAAGTTTTGAGTAGAGACCAGGGACCCACCTGGATGTATCTGGGAAGGGATGCACATAACATTGAAAATCACTTGTTTTCCTTGAGTAATTGCAAGTTTTTGCTTTACAGAGTTGGTTTTCCAATTATTTTGTTGCTGTTGTTCCAGAAGGAACAAAAGACATTCTCATTTCAAGAGGCAGCAGTGTGTGGTGCAGGTGTCCCTCTGAGGTAATTCAGTCCAGTGTAGGAACAGGTTCAAAAGGCCTCATCAAAAGGCATGGTGGGACTTCAGCTGAAAGGGAAATCTGCATCACCCTCCATGCAAGTCCTACCAGAGCAGAGTGAGTTTCTTAGAACGCACATGCCCACTTTCTATTTCCAAATTTGGCACTTTTTTTTTCAGAAGAATCCCAGATAAGTCATGGAGCAATGTGACTTGGTTTCCTTGTTGGACGGTTTATCACTGGATAGTTGCATGGACCTGAGCTTTCTTTTTAGAACCTTGTGGAAATAATGAAGAAGTGTAAATACTAAAATAGATAGCTGAAGGGATGCACTACTAACCAATTTGCAGTCAGGAATTTGCTTTCCTTTTTGTTTGTTTTTTCTTTGTATTCTCATTTGATGAGCACTACTGCTAAATTATGCTTATGTGCAGTTCCCAGCCTGCTGACACCAGGAATGTTGGTGTCTATGTCAGAGGAACAGTCAGAGCATGGGTAAGTGCTGTTTTGGGAAGCCTGAGATTTTAGATTTTAACTCTTTTTGTATATGCAATTGAATGGTCACACTATTGTTGTTGGGGGTTTGGTTTTTTCCCCCTCTACTATAAACATTACACATTTTTAATCATTAGTATTTTTACACAAAAAGTTCATTTATATACAAAAGGAAAAACAAATCCCTTTTTCTGAACAGCTTAAGCTTTGTATTAATCATGTGAGCTTTAAGGTTGAACCTTTCTCTTCAGCTCTACTGTTCTGCTAATGTGTATTATGACATGGTCTTTTCTAATGAAGATTTTCTTCAATGAGTATTTTCTTTCAAGTGCAGATACACGTGTAGCTAAAAGTATAGTTTAGCAATACTTGGAGTTCATAGAAATGAAGTATTTTGTGAAAAAGGAACTTCTTACTGCTAAGTGGTGGGCTGTGAGCCAAATCTGGGCAGTGATACAGCTGAGAACAGGCATCAGGGTAGCATAGGTGTAGCATTCAGATGGCTGTTGAGTTCCTTGATCTGGTTCCAGGTGAAACCCCATGTATTGCTTGAGTGCCAGTGCTAGGGAAGGGGGTGAACTGAGTGGGACTGTGTTGTCCTAAAGTTAGATTGGCCTGAAACCTTCTCTAATGTTTATATTTCTTGTTGAAGGATTTGGGAGTGTGTTGCAGTTGCTTATTTCATATGCGTTTGTTTCTCAGTCTTTTACATATCAAATTATAGACAAGTGTATCTGACTGTGTAAAAAACATTCTCAGTGTTCTGTGATTCTAGGCAAATGGTTTAAAAAATTTTGTTTGCATGTGTCTGATAAATAGTTCAGTAGAAACCTATATTCAACAGTGACAAAATGCGTATAATGAAAATAGATAACATGCAAATAATTTTTAGGAACGTCAACGTGACAGCAGTTTATACCAAAGCTAGATAACAAACAAGTTCTTTCCCAGTTTGATATACAAATACCTAGCTGTTGAAATAGGAACTAATTCTCATGATAAGAGAGACTCCAAAGTAGATGCAAGCCTTAGTGCTTAGGCAGAAGGTGCTAAATGTGTCTCTATAATACCCATGTTACATTGATTTAATTAGTGGTTTTATGCTATTCATTGCTCTGTTAATCTTGGTGGGAAGGTTTTTTTGGGAGGATTAGTTATTTAATCTGCATTTTTAATCAAAGTGTTTTTGTAGCACAGTGTCCATAAGTCAAAATAGTGTAGGTCTGCTTTTTGTTTTGTTGGTTTTTTTCTTAAGAAAACATTTCTCTTGAATTCCACTTGGACTTTGGTGCTCAAAAGCTCTGAGATTGAGTAAGATAATGTGAAGACCTCATTTGTTACACAGTCTGACATGAGTGTCCTTGCTTTAACTTCTTCATATGCAATTAATCCAGAAAAATGCTATGTATAGACAAATACTTGGATTGTAGGGAGGCAATGTTAGGAGAGATAGGATGAGGGGAAAAGGAGTAAACAGTGAGGCTTACATAAAAAATTGGGGGATTGGCTGGGAAAATAAACTAGTTTCTGTAGACCCTTCAAGGGTTAACTGAGACCTTGGCTGACCTGGGGTAGCAGTGAACCTTTGGTCACTGGCTCCAGTGAAGTTGCTCCATGTGTTTGCTGTGGCTGAAGTGAAGAGTACAAAGGCTCAGCCTCACCAGAGGAGAGGCAGCCTGTCAGGGAGCTGCCCTGGGCAAAGGATAGGTACAGGTGCTCATCTGAGGGCTCTGAAGAAGTCAGGTCTTCCAGGGCCCAGTGTACTGGAGCTAAGCTATCTGTACACATAGCTCTTTCAGTGTTTAAAGCCTCTCTTGCATTGTGTTACGTTAAGATTAAACTGTACTTCTTTGGTTTAGGAAGGCTGTCCGGTTGGTGTATGAACTGTTGGTCACGTACACCTGGTCTGAAAACGACTGGAGTCTGAAACACCTTGGACTTGCTGAAGGCAACGTAGTCTACCTGCGGATGCTGTGAACTAGGAGCTGACCAAAAAGTGGGAGAGCTCCAGGAACCCTCCCTGGAAAAGGTAAGTTCTGGGGGGGTAAAACTGGTTGGACTGCACTTGTAGACCAGAAGAACAGAGCAGTTCTCTGAGTACAGAGATGACTACATTGTAGATGGGACTTTGAAATTTAAGTATATAGACTGTGAAGTTATTTCCATTGGTTTAGACTACAAGTTGTTTTCTGGAGGTGTAAGATCTCCATTTGTACACATCACTCCTGTTTTCTGTCTGCTTTGAGTCACATCATTCTGATTGCTTGTAGTTTATACTGCCAAACTTTTCAGTGTTATTGTCTCTTTAAAACCTCACGCTCTGATAGCCTTAGGCAGTTGAAGCAATCAGGACAGTGGAGCAGTATCTCTGAGCTAAACCAGAGCAGTAGGTAAAGAACCGAAGGTTGTTCTTTCCGTAAAAGCACAGGTGTGAGTCGGATGATGAGGAACCTATTCCTGGCACTAACAAGCAGTGCAGCCTCTGCATCTGATTCACCAGTGTTACTCTACTAATCTTTTTAGCCTCATCTTGCCACTTTCTTATGTGCTGGGGCAGTCTGTTACACTTGCACAGACTGCATGTAAAACGCTATCAGATTGAAAGGATGAGAAAACTTGATATTGATTCTGGTAAATGAGCTGGACATTGTGGGACCTCAACAACAATCTCCAGACCCTGCAGCATTTTTTGCCTGCTCTGTGTGTCTGCAGTATGTGCTGTGGTGCTCTCGCAGGATGTTAATCATGCTCTGATACAGCATGCAATGGTTCAGGCTACAGTATTGTTTTCCCTTTTGTGGATAAGATTTCATGGCTAGGTTGTGCACAGTACTTTAACTGGGAACTTGCTTTGAATATGTAGGTGCTACATGTATAAAATTCAGATACATGTAACACCTTCCTCCCTCAGCCTGTCCTGTCTCGGGTGTCTCATTACCCTCTCGTGGTAGTGCACAAGAGATGCTGTGTTGGGGTATTCTGTTGTTCCACTGTTGTGGGTATTCTTGCTGATAGACCCCTGTCCCTCTCTGAGACTGGGGAGGAGACCCAATCAGCTGCTGAGGGAAAGCAGTAGACTTAATTGTGGCAGTGCTAATATTGTGGATAAGCAGGGTCAGCTGCTGCCTCGAGCTCCAGCTGTGATTTTGCTGCCCATTGTGCAGCTGAATATAGGGCTTCAGTTGGTCATCAAGTGTCATCTGTTGAGCAGTAAAGTCCAGACCAGTGCTGCAAGGGTATGACAAAGCAAGTGTCAGCAGCTTCCCAAGAAGGCTGCTTGTGATGGACTGAGCCTTTTATGAGTCCAGCTGTTTTGTCAGTGATGCACTCATGAGTATTTCTGAAGAAAACTGTGTCTGGTAAGCGTTCTGCTGTATGGTACTAATGCTGTGAGTAGAGCAAATGCTGCTTCTTGCCTGCCCTCAGGAACCATCAAAGGAAGTGCAGAAGTCTCCTATTACTGCTAAAACAAAAACGGAGTGCCGTATGGGCACATAGAAAACATAGATCCATTGGCAGCTAGAGCAAGGCTATGAATTATTCATTCCTCCAATGCCTCCTGTATGTTCCATCTACTCGGGCTGTTCAGGATGCTGTCTGCTGGAGATGCAGACTGATCTGCTGCCAAAGCCATGGGGCCATGACCCTGCAGACTGTGATCACCACTCTGTTCAGCCTGTGCTTGATGAAACTGGCTTGGGCATTGCAACATCCTTAAGGACAGAGATAAACCTTTGAGCATCCCATCGGTTGTTAGTAGGAATTCTTGTAACACCAGTGAATCTGGGATGCATCTGGTAATGCCAGCCTGGCATTGTCTGTGAGGTGAGAGCAATGAGTTAGGACCAAGATGGAAGCCTTACCTGCTCTGGCCCATTATGCAAAAGGGAAGTGGGAGGGTTGCATCTTTTGTGTAGTATTGCTTTGGGTTTTCTGAGTGAACTTATACTGTGTCACTTTATTCCTAGCTTTGTCTTGCTGAGAAGCCAAAGTGTCCTCTGCTCAAAGTTCCCTGAGCACAGGCAGGATTTTTCTGTCCAGGCAGAGTACTTTAGTGGAGAGGAGTGTATTTTTATGTCTGTTTGGGAACATCTGTGAAACACTTAGTTTTTCTCAACTCATTTACTAGTGGACATTTTTCTGGGTAATGGTTGTCAATTGGCAACTGAATGTGAGAGGCATCGAAGACTTATGAAGCTGCAGAGACTAAATTCTCCTCCAACTCTTCCATGAACTGCTCTGAGCTCAGGTAAGAGGTGCCCAGTATGAGAGAAGGTGTTGCTGATGATTTGTTCAGAGGCTGTTCTTCAGCATAAAATGCACATTCTTAGATGCAGAGGAATTTTAACTATTTTTTGCTTTTTCCTTCCTAATGATTGGTATGAAGATTCCTTCAGCCACTTCACCTACCCAAGCTGCACCATGCATGCCATACTGCAGATTTTTGAGCATTTTCCCTATTTTCCTTCTGCAGCTTTCAGGGTTGCTCTTGGCTATTAGGCTTTTGCTGAGAGGTGTTCAGATTTTTAGTGGAGGAAAAGCTACCTGTAACTAGCAACAGCTGTAGAAATGATGGACTTCTTAAAGGAAAAATTTAACCCTTGCATTTACAACTGTCTTGCAATGTGCCCTACTCCATTTTGAGAGCACTTCAAATGTTCTTAACAGCTTTGTGGAAAGGAAGGGAATGTAACTCTAGTCAAAATAAGACACTGTAACTTGTGTTCAGAACAGTTTTCAGATTCTCATTATGTCAGCTAACTGGATTTGCCCTAGAATGAGTCATCTTTGGAGTTGTCCCCGTCCAGAAGCTGAGGGAAGGTGTGGAGACTAAGATAAAATACCAGACTATGTTTGAAGAGCCTCACTGAAAGAAGTGGTGAAAGCATCCGGGGAAGACTGCTGAGCTGGGTTGAGAGGTTGGGTGGGTTTCATAAAGAGGGCTGTCAAGGACAAAAGAGTTGCCTCTGAAGCAGGTAAAACGTGGTTGTCGTCCTGTGGTCTTGACCAAAGTGAGAAGGTGATAAACTGGAAGCATACATTTTTATTTTGTTTTTAATCACTGAAAGAATTAGACAAACAGAGCAGGCAATGGATTTGCAGTTTCCATAGTGATGTAGCTATGGAAGCTTTTGTATGGCTGAGCTTTGCCCTCACTGCAGTCACACTTGAAGGCTATGAGTGTTCAGGAAAGTGTAAATATACATCAAACACGGAAGTGGCTGAAAATGCAACTGCATCTTCATAATTTGTTATGTTTGCTGTGTTATCTGAATATGTGCATGTTCAGAAGCTCAGCTTATTTCTTCTTTATCTGAAACAGTGCATCAAACTATATTGATACCACAGTTCTTGCTGCACCAGGCAGTGATATGTTGACCTTTGTCCTTTGCTTTCTCTCACCTGTACTTTCACACACATCCCACACCAACTGATGCCTGTGACTCTGCACCCACACTGATTTCAAACAAGCACTGATCAGGAAATGTACACCTAACTCTTTCAGGGCATGCTAACTGATCAAAGCACCGTCCTGTGAAACTTGGAGAGGTGTACTTCATATTGTTCTTAGCCATCAACTCATTTGTTCCTGTCATCTGACCTTAAATCATGCTTTATTTTAATGAGCATTTTGAGCGTGTTTTAATAGTCAAAATACATGACCCTTGGGCAATATTTGCATATGGAGAGAGCTGTTTGTGACTGTGAATGGTTGAATTTAAGAGCCTTTAATTCTGGCTTTCAAAACAAGCTGGAGGTGGAATTTTTCAGTTTCTTAGTGATGAGATTACTAGTGGTAATCTTAGAGGTAGAGGAATGAAAATGCTCAGTGTGAATGCTGGGTGCATACATCAGACAGTTAAGCGCGTTCTAGTCCTGCATACCCACTTACATAGTCTAGTCTTTGTGGTTCACAGGGATTTGTGCCTTGTCTTCTTCCATTTTACTTGTAGTGCTGCTGGATGCTTCTCTTCCTGTTTCCCTGAACGAATCTCCCTTACCTTCAGCATTTGTTTTGTTTGTCTAATGGATGTAATGGGTCATCTGTTCCCTTTATAGAAAGGAACGTTAATTATTTTCAGAAGGCTAATTAGGTTGCTAATGAGAAGCTCTACTGCAGAAATACTACCTTTAATTACTCACTCTTAAATGCTGTACAGAGAAGCTTATTGAATATGCTGTTAAGTACAAATTCTTGTATTTGGCTTAGAGATGCTCCTTCAGGCTCCCAGAAAGAAATACTTTGGTAAACTTGGGAATCCGTGTGACACAGATGACTGAGCAAATGAGACTGGTGCTGAGAGCTGCCTAGTCATGCAGCCTTTTTGACTCCATGTCAATTTTGTGCTTGTGCAAGTGACTGGCCGCAGTTGCTCTTTGTATTTCAGTTTTGCTTGATGACTTTTGTCAGTATCGGTAACCAATTGTGCTACTTGCCACACCAATCTATAATTAGATGCAGCCCTCACACTAAATAGTTTAGTCTAATTATCTAGATGGTAGCCAGAAGCACATAGAGGTGGAGTGACTTGTCCAAGGTCATGTTGCAGATCATGACAAACCTAGTAATAAAGCAGAGGTTTTGTCAGTCCAGCTTTAGTGCACTGCACTATTTGGCCCCTTGTGTCTCTCTTAGGGCCAGCATCGCTCACAAGACTTGCATCAGTTTGGATATGGTTTCATGAGGCAGCACAGCTGCTCAACAACCCCATCCATGTATCTACCTTGGCACTGACTTAGGAAGGTCCTTTTGCTTCTCCATCTGAGTCCTGGCTTCGAGTTGCTTCACTCCTTTTTTTCACCCTTTGTTGTAGAAATCTCGATGCCTTTTAGAATTGCCCTGGGAGAGCTACTATATTCTAGATGATGTTTTAGTACTCCCAGGATGAGAGCTGGGGTGGATTTCTAACTTTCCGCGGCTTTTTAAGTGCTAAGCCTTCATGAAGCTCTGTAGAAGAGCTTTGCTTTTTTGCAGCATCCTCTGATGTCCAGTCCAATCCCTGAATCTGCTCTTAGCCAGACTCTTGG